TTTTCCTCACGTGTGGGATAGCCTGCAACATATCAGAGAACAAACCAAATGCATATGATAGCACAACGATCGATAAAACATCTCCAGACTTTTGAAAGATAAATTCTTGACTTGGGGCCATGGACAGCTAAGATATTGTTTGATCCCCATAAAATAGGAGCCCAGCCAATACCAATGTCTCTTCAACAAGACTTTGACAAGATTAATATACCTTTTAAGGAAAACAAAGCACCATTTCATACAAAACACCATTTCAAACAAAAACCTAACTGCCTTGATAATTGGAAAACCATTTCAGTCAATTAGAACATATGCAAGTTGGTAGATGAGAGATTTTCTTCTTTTCTAATTGAGTTAAATGTGCAATCTAAAACTTATAATTATTGGAGTATTTTTTCTAATTTATTATTAAAGAAAAAGCAACAGCAACCCCTTCGAGACATTCATCGCAATGTATGATTAATAGTGTATCAAATTAATATTAGCTAGGTGAGACGAGAGGCCACCAACTCCAAACATATTGGCAGCAATTTGGAACTTCTAATTTGGGTTTATTCTATCAGCTTATGGTTTCAGAAATCATATGCATGAACGTTAATGATCATCTTGATCAGAATGTGTAAGGTACAATTCTTATCAAAACTTAATGATGTTCTTGACCCCAAGATTTGAGGATAAGGTGTGTTATTGAAAAGGGTCCTCTGTTCACATCAATCATGTATATCGGTACAAGGAAGGAAGGGCTGAAGCCCAACAAAACCTACGTACCTAGCTAATCTCAGAGAATAACTTACATAAAGTGGGTACACAGTTACGATGACGTCTTGTGTTAATACATGTGTAAATTTTATGTCCACATGTTCTTATTTCATTAGCACAAGACACATGGTGGTGCACCCGTACCATATAATTAATTAGTTGTTCTCCTAATCTAGACCAAGGGACCCCATGCATATCAGGTATCCTATTTTTTTCCATACAAACCCTAGATAGTGAGTAGATTAGATTATCCTTCACATATCTTTAAACCCCAAGCGGTTTACAAGATTTGGCCATTGAAAGTCGTACCTATACCCATACAAAGGTTACATAAGCCTAACAGTTACCAATTAATTGAGTGTTTGCCCAAAATAATTGAATGTTTCCAATTTACAAGAATTAGAGGATGATCACTGTTTGTTCTCTTCTAGAGGGTGAGCTCCTGTACGATACTTTGTTTCTCTTCTTTAATGCTTAGGATTGTTCTCAATTTTCTTGTAATGCAACACAATCAAATCAGACGTGTATATATATATATATATATATATGTAGAGAGAGAGAGAGAGAGAGAGAGAGATTTACCCTTAAGCAATGTGAGGGAGCAAGGTGTCAAAACCAGCGCCCAGACACCGCATGAGTGCTGTCTAGTTCTTGACTTGAATGTGGAAGCGTATTAGGGTCCTTGGTTTTTTTGGATCAAATAGAAGGGTTCTTGGTGATTGTCAATCTTGGAATTGGGGGCCCCGCCCTAAATCCCATCCTCAAATGGGAGAATGGTAATCAAGCCAGTGAACAACAAACAGTATTTGTATGATTGTGGAGGACAGCTCGGTTGACCATTGGACCCTAGCTTGGATAGTTGGGCTTCATATGAAGCTACTAACTGCTGGTCTCGTGTATGAGTCGGGATTGTGGTCCTTTATAAGTGGGCTTCCCCGAAGTCACATTCACCTCTAAGTAAAGGGACAGTAGTATTAGCAAATCACCCATCACTCTAATTTCATCACTCGTTACATGATCAAGTAACTGTAATAAAAGTCACTTAAATTATAGTCTAGTAGCATTAATCTTTATTATTATTTCCAACCCATTGTGATGCTTAGCTCAATCCTCCACCCTCCTTAGTGTAGATAATATCACTTGCTCAAAAAAAAAAAAGTAACCGTAATTAAAATGTGTGTACCATAACGACCTAGTCTTTAGTCTAATAGTATTTGTATTCATTTGATTGGAGAATGTATCTGATTTTAACTCACGTGGTAGCGATGAAGTTATATATTTGTGATGAGTTCAACACATAGTTGCATAGTTGCTCATAAACCATTGAAAAACTGAACTTAGCTTAGCAGGTGGACTACTAAGCAATGTGGTCTCTTAACAAAGTTAACCGATTTAAAGAATAATATTTAAAAAATTGCCTAACCCAAAAACTGAAAAAACAAACAATTGGATTCGGTTCAGCTGTTGCTTTTGTAAATGTACTCTTTGAACTTAATCACATTTCTTCTTCTCTTTTGAACGTGTCAAAAACAACCAAAAATTCTGTTTCCTTTTCCTTTATAAATCGAAATCGAAGCCAAAAAAACAATGCAGTCAGTTGCTATGGCCATTAGGCAATGAGTGTCTTCTTCTCTTCCTTACCAAGTAATATCCAAGCCCTCCAAAAACAAGAAGAATAATCAACCCATCAACCACTCCTACCAAGATCAAAACCCATTTCTTCAAATTTGACTTCCCATGACCCCCATGACCTCCCCTTGGAACCTTTACCATATAACTCAATAATCCACTTCCCTTATTCTCAACCTGTTTAACACCAATTACCATTCCATATATAAAGCACTCTTTTGCAGAAGAGTACAATGCTGCTGTACAATTACAGTCCTCGAAGCACAAATTACCACATTCTTCTTTGCTCACATTAACAATCTTAGCACCTCCTCTCAAAACACTAGTAACACCCTTCAATTCACGCATCTCCACCTTTGTTTTCTTCCCTCCTTTGCAAAATCCTCCTGATGAAATTCCTCGTCCGCAGTCAGAAGCAGTAGTACTAGTACTAGTACCCGTCTCATTTTCGGTGGGCATGAGTTGAATGCATGAACAAGCTCCGGACAATGTACAAACTCCGTAGGGCTTACACGCCAATGGAAGATCACATGTGGCGTTGAGCGCTTGAAAAGAAGCATCAAATTTCGACATACTAGGTGAGTAAAAATAGAGCCTCAAATTTCCTGTTTGGTTCCCCAATGCTAAAAACCTCATGGGCTGAAACTGAAATTTTTCATCAGATGGATGAATCTGTGCAATTTTCTTTTGATTATAACTGAATAACTCTAACCCTTTTGGACCCAATTGAATATAAGCAATGTTTCTATTCTCGGTGGGCTTGAATTCCCAATAGGAATAGTTCCACTTACCAGAATTCAAGTAGAGAGCAATCCTGCTGGGTTCAATTTCGAGAGAATAGTATGAAGTGGAGTTGCTTGGGAATGAAGTCAACCTAGAAGCCACGCTTAGTCTCTGTCCCCAAAGCATTACATCAGTTGGAAAATTAAAACTCTGCCACTTTATTCTGCCTAATGCATCAACTAGAACTAGATTGCCTGTCCTCAATATCTGTAATTTCTGCACCAAATTGACAATAAAAATCATAAAAAGGAGAAAAAAAAAAAAAGAAAAAAAAAAAGGAAATCAGCACTGATCAAATATTGTACGAACAAAAGGTAGCGATTTTGACACTCCAATGTTAACCATCTGCACTCCAAATTGAATAATACAATTTTTGAGAAATGGTTTTCTATTCCTTCTTTCAACTCCAATTCTCATTTTGTTTTTCTTTTCCTTAATTCTCATTTGATTTATCAATACAACGGCTAAAAAGATAAAAGACAAGTGCAGGGGGGGGAAATAGAACGTAAAAGTGCATGAGGATAAAAAAATGAGCGTTAAAATTATCATTTGCAGAAAAACAACCATTTTTACGGTACCACTTTACACTTTAACCATATGCGCACTTACAAATGGAGTGTAGAGGCTAAAAGATGAGCAGTAAAATAACTAGCCAAAAATTAAATTTATCGGTATAAATTTACCTGCACACCTTGTCCAGAAGTCCCACTTCTCCATCCCACTCTACCTTTTGGGCCCTTCAATCTCAAATCACCGTCACGGGAGAGCTCAAGAACACATATTTTTGAAGTATAAAACTTTGAGTAATGGCCAGAACTCCACACCTTGACATCTCCAAGAAAGACTTGCAAGGAGCATGAGTACTTCCCACTCACAGGTTCCACACTCATTCCAACTTTAAAACTTGGTTTGGTTTCATTGTTCTCCATCAAAAAAGCTCTGGATCCCAAACTGTTCTCAAATGGCACTGGCAACCTGAATTGGTATCCGAGAGGAGCATCGGTTTTCGAGTAGCCGTAAGTGCAGAAAATGGTGAGGGAGATGAAGAAGTACAGCTGCATGAGTGAATCGCAGGCTCAAGTTTCAAGCATGAAGGCCTTTTTATGGCAGAATTTGATGAGAGACAGAGTGGGGAGAAGGTAGGCACGAATTGTGGAGCTTTTGCAAAAAGGGTTCGTGCTTTCATTTTGCTTTGTTTTTTTGCTGTGTTAAATGTATACAAATGCGGGGGATGTAGTGGAGTTGCTCATTGGCACGCTGGAATGACTTGTGAGTGTGAATATTCTTGTTAGGGTTTTAAAAAGTAAATAAATATAAGGTGATGATTCTCTACAGGGTGTCCACGTGAGGGTGTTTTTGGTCACGAGGAATACCAATAACATCTTAACATTCTTCAGTTTGGATTTGGATCCTCTCTTGAGCTAATGGAGAGGATCTTCATGATCAATCATCATAGGCCGTTAGATTTTTATCCAACAGCTACAAACAGAAGGGTCCTTTTAAAGTTATAATGATTGTAACCGTTGGATAAAAATCCAACGGTCCATGATGATTGGTCAAGAGGATCCTCTCCATTAGCTCAGGTGAGGATCCAAACCCCTCCAGTTTTTGTACGCTCTGAGGTGTCTTATTGCCTTTTAAAGCTAGTGTGGAGCCCATAGAGTGAGAGTAATGTGACAAGATTTTTTGAAGTATCTAAGATATGGAATTAAACAACACGTGTCATTATATAATTAAAACAAATTCTTTAAATGTCTCTCAAATTTAATAAAAATGTATAATATTTCGTTTTGTATTTCAACCACACTGAAAATCTTTCGGTTAAGTAAGACCGCCCATCTATGATTCTATAATGCGTTTGGTGTCAAATGAGTGCCAGTCGTCGTAGTGGGGGCAGCAGGCCAAGTTGCATGATGAAAAAGCATGAAGCCTCTTGCCACGTGTACGATCATTATGTCCTCCACATTTCCATGCTGACGTAGTTCTCGCGCCACATTGACGTGTAGGGTTCCTAAAGGACCGAACCAATTGGGCGATTTTGGGCTTCATTGAGCGACCCGACCCGAGACAAATCCAGGTTGATCTGAATTCTTGCAGCTGACGGTTCGTATATTTCGGTGCCGGTCCGGCTTCGTCGTTTTGGGATATTAATGGAGATCGGATATGCGGCTCTTCTTCCACCGTACAACCTCTAATTCCTCACCTCCTCTTCGTCGTTCGCTATCGCCGCTGTTCCTTCTCCGCCAAGTTCTTCCGCCGGGAAAGTGGATGAAGAATTGGAGGAACGAGGGTCGTACGACGAGCTCTGAAGCGCCGGGTTCTCCCGTCACTCCCGGTGGCAATTCCGTAATTCGATCTGATTCCGTGAGTTTCTCGTAATTCTGTTTTTCTATTTTCAGAAAAATAGACTGTATAAATTTACTGCTGAATGTGCGCTATAAAATTAAAGAATTTATTTAGTGCATTATTACTTTGCTTTCCAGTAGAGGATAAATTGTTCCCTATGCCGAGAACACGGCTCGGTACACCAACTTATCACATTTTTTAAGCCTCCGGCCATTTGTGTTATGAAACTCAATATATAGGCCGTGTTCTCGGCACATTGAAAAATTAGAGTTTAGAAATTTTGTTTGGTATTCAAATTATATATTTATATGGTATATGTTATCTTTGATGTTCTTTTCATTTCCTTGTGCTTCTTGTGTCTCCCTAAATAGTTGTTAATGTTATTTAAAGACACTCCAAGAACTAAACTTTCGAAAGAAGTAAAAAAACTCACATAGTGAAATGGTGCTTTTAAGGTTTTTCAAATTGGGAAGAACCCTAATTAAGAAAGTGTTTGATACTAGAAGTAAGCTAAGAAGTACACTAAAATGTTGTTCAAATTTCCAGAGGTGGTTTTTTGAATTCGTAGTATTTAGTTTATTCCCGCCACTCCTTAGTTCTTTTGAATTTTAAGCAAAACCAACTAAAAAAAAGGACTACTGAAAAAATAAAGCAATGGAACACATTTTGGTTTAGAGTTTTTGCAAGATATTATTTGTACCAAATTTACCGATCAAGTTACTAAACAATTTTTAAGCCTGACATGTGTTCGTGTTGTGCTTTAGCCGCTTGTTGTTGTAAATGTAGGATTACAGATTTAAGGTTTGGTAGTTAGTACTACATTAAACCTTTTATCTATCAGATTAATAGCAGCCCAATCATTGGATTCTTTTAATTATTACGTATTTGGATATCATTTTCCTAATTAAGTTCTGTTTCCTGTTCTTTAAACTAACAGGTGACCAGCTGTGGCTCTTCTTCAAATACTTATGCTGGTGTTGTGAGTGGAAATGTCAGAAACACATACGAAAACTGGCAGATGATAAGGGTTGGAAGTTTTTCAATTGATTACAAGATTTCTGATGTCCCATCTGGTATTAGAGCAACGCAACTTGTTCCCAAGTCTGCATTAGATCCTACTGATAAGGCACACTGCTACTCTCTCAGTTCGTTTATTCATTTCAATAAAAGGAAGTATCGAATCGATTTAAGATCAAAGCTAGTTAATATGGAAGATGCTGCTACAAGTTCAAGCTCTAAGAATATAAGTAAACTTCCACATGAAAGCTCAAATATGTCAGATTGTCAAAGAGAGAAGGATATATATTCATCTTTACCTACAGAATTTGGGAAAAAAAGAAAGCATGGCCTCCCAGAAAAATCTCAGTCCGCACCAAGAAATATGAAATATGTGCCTGTTAGCAAGAACTCATATTGGTCTAAGGGTTCGCAGTTGCATTATAATGAACCGTTTGATATATGCATGTCTCTGACCAGAAGTTCTGCACCTAAAGATTCTTGGCATGCAAGAAGGATAGAAAACCAGAATGAAGAGGAGGACATGGTGGAATTCGAAAATCCAGCACACACGGAACTCACAAGTTCAATAGTACTACTGAGGTCTGGGATGGTATTGTTGAAACATTTTGTCACCCTCAGTGAACAGGTTTTGCGTTCTTTCCCTTCTAGATCATAGATTAGCAATTCTAAACCGGAGAAGTAGTCTCGTATAGCATCAATTTCCAGTCATGATGTGCATTTGATCAGCGATATAGTATTAGTAGTGTATTTTGGTTTCCAAAATCATTACTGATAATTAGGTTTTGGATATTAGTGCCACTAACTGAATCCTTAGTCAACAGTTCAAGATGTTCTGATGATTCTGGTCTGTGGTGTCACATTTTACAGTTTTTTTTAAATTGATTGTTTTAGAGTTTTTACACTGCAAACTTGTTACTAATACCTTGGTAACACTTAAATTTATAGGTTGAAATAGTGAAAAAATGCCGGGACCTCGGAGTAGGTCCTGGAGGCTTTTATCAGCCAGGTTACCAAGATGGAGCAAAAGCTTCGTCTACAGATGATGTGCCTTGGCAGGGACTGGGATCCTCAGACAAGAAAGTACGGAGATAGGCGAACAATAGATGGTACTCGGCCTCCTGGTATTCCTAATGAATTTAGTTTGCTGGTAAAAAGAGCGATTCATGAGGCACATGCCCACATTAAAGAGGAAGTTAGCAGAGCTGAGGAAATACTCCCTTCAATGACTCCTGATATATGCATTGCCAACTTTTATACAACAACTGGCCGACTTGGTCTTCATCAGGTATTTACTCAAAGTCTCAAATACACCTTTAATAAAACCAAACGTATATATGCGTTGCAGGATCTTGAATCAATGTAAGTAGAATTATAAATTTACATTTACACGTCAAAATAATTCTTCAACGCTGTTAATTTGGTTAATCTTATTCTTAAATTTGTGTCACTTTCCACGAGCCCCAATTGTCCTTGAAAGCAACATTGATTTTATTGTACTTTTTTGGTGATCAGACAAGCTTTGATTTTCAGGATCGCGATGAAAGCAGAAAGTCTCTCCAAGACGGATTGCCTGTGGTCTCCATCTCTATAGGTGATTCAGCAGACTTCCTCTATGGAGATCAGAGAGATATTGCAAAGGCAGAGAGTGTTATTTTGGAATCAGGTGACGTGCTGATATTTGGAGGACCTTCGAGGCATATATTTCATAGCGTGACATCCATCCTACCGGACTCAGCCCCAAGGAGTTTGTTGGAAGCAACCAGCCTTCGTCCTGGACGTCTCAATCTTACCTTCAGACAGTATTAATTATACACCTTTCATATGTTACCACAGGTCTGGCATTCTACTTGCACACCTTGTTTAGTTTTCGTCCTTATCCCCCAATACAATTAATAGACTTTGCGATTAACGCTGTGACTGCAACTTGGTGCATTCACTGATCTAAAAACAATTGCTGCTATAAACATATTCAAATTTTGTATGGTATTAAGCTTCTTCGAGAGTTACGCTGTGATTACGACTTGTTTAACTCACCGATATCAAGATTCGAGGCTTCATTCAATCGCGTAACATTCGAACATAAATCGATTAACTAAATGCTTATGAAGCCTATTTATTAGTTCCCTGTTTGTATATTAGGTTTGATGTGTACATCTAGAAGGTCATTTTTGGCTGTGAGGCTGTTTGATTGGTTTAGTTATGAGCTTAATATTCCAATTAAACATAATGTGACGTTGATCCAGTGGCTAATTATTTAATTATGAGTTAAGTGATAGAATTAGCAACATTCTACTTCTCAGCCGCTGCTTTTGATGCGTGCACTGCATCAGCACTGTCCTGTTAGATGATGCAAGTATCTTATGATTTTTATATTCTTGAACTTGTCGAAAATCTGTGTTAGTCTGTGGGCTTATCAATAAAAATATTATGCTACTTGTGCAAGGAATCTATTTGGAGTTGTCAAGATAAGATACTTGCCTCAAATACACGACATTTGGCTTCGATCTGACGTCGGCCCTTGTCTTTTGTTGATCGATAAAAATAAAGAAATGATGGTTAGACACTTTCACATAAATATGTGGCTTTGATCTGACGCAACTAACTTAATGGTTAGACACTCTCTCAAAAATTTGATAAGATAACAGGATCCTCTCTGGATTTTTTTGGTGACGATTTTAAAAATTCGTAAATCGTGTATATTCATCGTACATCACTGTTTTAGAAAATGATGAACTTTGGTTGTGCTTATAGTTAGTTAAGCCACTTCCTATAGTATTAATTTGTTTTATGACGTGATCTCAACTTTTTTTGTAGTATGTTCCACATGTGAAGCTCAACGGCTATATGTGCTCCATATCATCCTATTTGTGTTGTTCATGTGTTAGGCAAAATGTGTGAAGCCCAACAGCCATAGGCGTTCCCCGTCACCCTTTTTGTGTTGTTCCCGTGTTATACTTGAGAATTCGCGACACTTGAGGGGATGTGTTAATGATCAAATTCCACATAAAGGAAAGGATGAACCTTGCATCTGTTTATGGTTAGTTGAGTTGTTACTTAGTACTATGGTCTAGTGATATTTATCTTTACTTGTAAATGAGAGGTTTTAGGTTCAATTTTCGCCAAAGACAAATTTGAATCACATTATTGATAGCCTAGTGTGAGGCTTAGCTCACTATCCCAGAGCAACTTGTTCCACGTGTGAAGCTCAACAGCTATATGCACTCCACATCATCCTATTTGTGTTGTTCATGTGTTAGGAAAAATGTGTGAAGCCTAACAGCCACAGGCGTTCCCCGTCACCCTTTTTGTGTTGTTCACGTGTTAGACTTGAGAATTTATGACACGTGAGGGGATGTGTTAAGGATCGAATCCCACATAAAGGAAATGATGAACCTTGCATCTGTTTATAGTTAGTTGAACTGTCACTTAGTACTATGGTCTAGTGGTATTTATCTTCACTTGTAAGTGAGAGGTTTTAGGTTCGATTTTCACCAAATGCAAATTTGAATCACATTATTGATAGCCCAGTGTGAAGCTAGCTCACTATTCCAAAGCAACTTGTTCCACGTGTGAAGCTCAACAGCTATATGTGCTCCACATCATCCTATTTGTGTTGTTCATGTGTTAGGAAAAACGTGTGAAGCCCAACAGCCATAGGCGTTCCCCGTCACCCTTTTTGTGTTGTTCCTGTGTTAGACTTGAGAATTTATGACACATGAGGGCATGTGTTAAGGATCGAATCCCACATAAAGAAAAGGATGAACCTTGCATCTGTTTATAGTTAGTTGAGCTGTCACTTAGCACTATGGTCTATGATATTTCTCTTCACTTGTAAGTGAGAGGTTTTAGGTTCAATTTTCGCCAAAGGCGAATTTGAATCACATTATTGCTAGCCCAATGTGAGGCTTAGCTCACTACCCCACTCCCTTAGTGTAGATATATCGTTTATTAAAATATATATATATATATATATAGTAGTTAGTTGAGCTGATTATTATATTGACAATTCATTTTATTTGTGGAACCTGAACTTTCTTCACGCTATGCATTATATTCAGGTACCATCTAACCTTGCGTAGGTACAACTCTAGATGTACACGTCCCAATCTTAATTTATAAGTTGCTGAGGCTCCCCAATTAAGGATTCTCCTATCAATTAGCTTGGGCATCAATTATGCTATTCCATCCTTGATAACAATAGATGATTGTATCAAGTTAATGTCATATGTATTTTGTTGTTAGGCATACATGTTATACTACTAAACTATCAATTTAAACAGTTTACATATGTGTATTTTGTTCAAAATACGCATTTAAAATTCGAATTAACGGTTTGACAACATAAATTATTAGATTACCGCTTTCTTTTTAACGAATTGTTTATCGGGGGAGGATGTTTAGAATCAAAGGAACGACTGTGACATATAAAATAACATTGATAGGCAGGGCCGTCTCTGAGATTTTGAAGGCCTGTGCGAAATTTGAAAGAGGGCCCCTCCTTAAGATAGGTTTTTTTTTTTTTTAATTTATTTATTTTAAAAAACAATGTATTGAAGCTAGAAAAAAGTCACTTAAATCAAAACAAATTTTAACACTCACTGAATGCAAGTTTACAAATGTCATTAATTATAAATAAAAAGAGTTACTAACATAACATTCGCTAAATAATCAAAAGCAATTCATTCTTAAACAACCAAACATGAAAAACGAAAAACTTCAAAACTCTTAACTTTGAAGTTTCACTTGAACATATAATATTATTATATATATCATTTTTCGAGTGTTATTACTAGCACACAAAATATCTCATTGTACTCCAAATTGTTATATTTAGCATATTTACTCTTATAAGAGGTGCACAAAGAGATTTTAAAGTACTAACAAAAACAATTTTTTTTTAATATAAAACATTATTACATAATATTAGATAACAAAAATTTGAGAGTTCCTCTAAATTTGAAGCCTTGCGCGACCACACTTTTCGTTCTTCCTCAACGCCCCCTCTGCTGATAGGGATGTGGAAATCCTACGCAGAAAACACGTAATGGTGGCATTTGATCAACTTGCACGTCGAATTCCATTTTGTTAATTGCAATGATGATTTCGTTTATACTTGGGTCATTGTGTTAATAATTATTTAATTGAATCTTCATAGTTTAACAGTTTTAATTGCATAATTGCCCTCCAAATACTCAAACCACAACCACAACTTCTAACCTTCTTTTATTAAAGGAATGTGATATTCACACACCCTATTTTATTTCTCACACAAATTTTTAATTTTCGATCGTCAGATCGGATGAATTGAAGAAGATTAACGGACAAAAATTATCAAAGGGTGTGTGGATAGCACACCTTTATTAAATCTTAACATGTACGTTGTTTAATAGTTCTTGAATATGATTAGCACTAATCTCCATACTTACATAACTTACATAAACTTCCCACCTTAATAGTGATTGTATTCAAGATATCCATGGTGTCGTGACTCCCTTTAGATAAACCGATATTATGTAATGTACGCAATTAGCTCTCCTTCGGCTTTGATTTTCGACTATGTTCATAGGAGGATGGTTTACTAATTAATCCTATTTAGGGTTCATGTGAAATCCTGTCCCTGGATTTCATTATTGAAAATTACGTATCTCACATTTCGTATTCATATTCGTAGTTTCGACGAGTTTATATTTACGGCATATAAAATTTTTATTCGATAAGTAAAAGGACGAAATTGCCCCTATTGTGTTAAACGAGAATCTTTGTGGATGTATTTGATCCTTTCATAATTTTTCAGATTTCTTTACATATTTGGATAGTATGTGTCGATACGAACGTGCGGGCACAAATGAAACGTAATTTGGAGTTATTAACGAACAAAGTCAAGGGCAAAATGGCCATATACTTATTAAATTTGGAAGGCTCCAAATTTGTTGGAGCAAGAATGGCTGGGATGAAGCCACGTGTGTGGCTGTGATGGAGAGAAAAGAAGAGAAAGGGGTGTGGAACTGCCCAATCGAGAGAAAAGGTGGACCAATGAAAAGAGAGAGCTAGGAGGGGAAAGGAGAGAAGAGAAAAACACTGGATCACCCTGGACTCGACGACCCAACCCGTTTTAACCAGACTTCCGCGAGTTTTCACATGGTTTTCCGTCTGTTTTTCTACGAATTTCTTCGAGCTACCACCTAGAAAACCTTCCCTCTCCCATTTGCACCCATAATCGAAGAAGTTGGGCCCTAATTTCACGAAGAACAGAACCCGTCGGCATTAATGGGTGCACAGCAGCAATTCGCCGTTTTTACAAACACCACCGTCCACCACCACCATCAATCAACTCCTCTTAACCCCAGGAGCAAGGCCCAAGCATTGGATGAGGTGTCAGAGATCGTTTTGGTGACGAATCGAAGCTCACCCTTTTTTCAGGGTTTCCAACGCTTTAAGGGATTTTCCAACCACTTCCTGGCCAAACTAGGCTTTAGCCCAAGTATGAAAAATGTTCCTCTCCTTCAGTTGTACATTTCTACAAAATTTGGTGAATTTTAGTGTTGGTCGGAATTTGGGGTTTCGTTCGCCGAAAACTGCCACCCGCAGCGACACGTGGCTAGTGGGCCGATGTTGCCTTTTTAAGTTAAATTTGATGTTTTGATTTCAAATTTGTTAACCGTGTGATAGAGTTTGATAGTTTGAACCTAATATGGAATACTACGCCACTTGACCATTTTATAATTCGATGATTCGATTGTTGGATCGTCACCAAACCTTAACACGTTATAGTACGTAATATTTGAGAACCGTAGGAACTGATGGATTAGGAATCTAACGTACGGATCTTTCCAAATTGAATTTCTAAGTTTGTAAAACTAAACATTGATAGCAACCTAATTCTAGCAATTGGCGGAGATCCAACCGTTGGATCGTTCCAAAATTTTAGGATATTGTTCTAGAAGATAAATGAGACCCTTGGGAAGTTATGAATCAGAAATCCATGGGCGGATGTTCCAGATT